ACTTAGTTTTTAAAATTCAGTTTAACTCAAAACGAGTTACTGAGTCCATAAATTAAGAAGGAAGGTATTTAGATAGGTCAATGATTAAAGCAACCAAACCTGTAACAGCTGAGTCTATTTTTAAGCCTAAACATTTTTATTTTTGTTAAGTTGGGGATTTTAACCTGGGAGCCTGTGAGGATCGACTCATATTTGGAGCCTGCTGTAAGTAACTGTTTGAGGAACTGCTGTTTTTAAAAAAAAAATTATATTTGGCTCAAGGCACTATGGTTTGTTATTAAGTTCAAGCCACAGGGCTAAGCGTCCATGTTTCTGAAAAGTAAATTTCTAAAACTTGAAATAAAGCCACAAACCAAAGTTTGTCCAACAAACAAGTTTCCTCACATTTTCATTAAAAAATTGGTCCTTTAAATAAATAAATAAATAAATTAATTATATGAACTGTTTTAAAAATGAACCCTTGACTTGTGGTTGTGCCTTCAGACCAGAGTAGTGCTAAGTTTTGTTAAATGACTTTCGGATATTTATTTTTGAGGGATACGGATGCTGAGGTCTGTGATTGGAGTGATGACACAGAAAGGCATGAATTAAACAGTTTGTTTTTTCATAGCTAATTTTGCGAGGAACAGAATCAATGTTTTTTTGTTTGTTTTTTCCACCTTTGTTTTCTTACATTAAGTCGAATCGTAAAGGTCTGAAGTATGACGTCTGCATAGAAGGTGAGGGCTGAGAAGGAAGTTTCTAATCAGAGCGCAGGAACAAGTCATAACAGGAGACCCTGTTTTAAAAAAGAAAGAAAAAAAAGAGCAACATGGCTGCTGAAAACGACTCATCTCTTCCATCCACTCCGAGACAGGGAGCATCTTAGAGAGTATCAAATTCTCAGCAGGTCCCCCAAACCTCCTCTCCTGGCCTGCCCTCAGAGCTTTGACTGACTTGTGGTGAAGGTTGATGGGGATTATTGATCTGCCTGGCGCGCGCCTGTGGTTACGGCACAAGACTGACGACCTCACCAGAGGGTTTTTTTGGCGTTCACGGGCCCCTGCCTTACATCAGTTGCTGGGACAAGGCTGCCATGGCTTCCACTGTGGACTGTTTGAGCTTGGAGCCAGGTGATCAAGACATTTTTCTATGTATTTAAATAATCAGACCCAAATTTAGGCAGAAGATAACAATAAACATATCTGATTGGCTTTTTGGAGAGGAGCCGTCCAAGTGAGTAACCATGTCTGCAGACAGCAGAGCCTGGGGGTATTTATGATCTTGGTTAAATTCTCTGGTTAGGGTTTCTGTTCCAGTCGCGAACCACATGAAATAATCCTTGGTCACTGGAGAAGGATGTGGACACTGTGCTAATTATGTGAGATGATGATGTCAGGTAGCGATACCTACTACCGAGACACAACTTTTCCCTCTGCGCTGCGTTCCAACGTATATAACCACACTGCGGTGACCACACTCGCTATACGACCACACTCGCATCCACATGTCGGACATGTCTGGATCCTCAGCAGCCCTCACACATCCACACACTGTCAGACGGGCGCTCACTTTATCATTCATACTTATAAATCATCACTTCGCCTGCAGGAAGCGCGGAGCATTTTATTTTCCAGTCATAAACCATAAAACCCGCCTCTAACACGAGTTATGATCCTTGGAGACAGAGAGGATGAATGTCTAAAGCAGAACCAGACACGATGGCGGGCATCCTTCGTCCCCCACTTTTCCCCTGGCACGCCTCACGCGGCCATGGTCGTACGGAAGATTTTCCTTTTAAAAAAAAGGCCTCCGCGTGATCTAAATGTCACCAGGGCTGTATGTCATTCAGCAGCGAGCTGGATTACCGTGACTGCTCCGAATTACCAGTCCATTAGCTCTCAATTAACACTTGCCTGATAAAGTTTTAACAACCCTTCATCTGACACAAAGAACGCACAGGGCTCCTTCATGCTTGGTTTCAGGCAATAGATGGGGCCCGGGCCCAAATTTTTAAAATTTTATTGCCTGGCTGAAACCTATGGAAAAACGCCTGTTTTACATGAATATTTGGCACAGAATTTATCCTGTCTTATGTTCTGTGCATTCAGTTGTGCTGCACCACTTTGCCATTTTTCTGACAGTCGAGATGGTGTATAATTTGAAACACTGACATGAAGCAAAGGCATGGGACAAAGAGGGCTTTTGTTTGCATGTTTGGTCGCTCTCCATGGTACTGACACTCACATTTTCACAGTAATTCCCGCTTCTTCTTCTTTCTTTTTTTTTCAGGCAGTGTGGCCAGTATCAAATTGCATAATCTGAACTAGCAGTGCTCATTAAATGTAGGCATTTTAGGTTTCATAAGTGCACTCTCTTTGAGCTTCACTTAGCAGCAAATGGTTTCATGGAATCAAATGTTTCCAAAGCAAGCTAAAGACACAGGCATGCTTTAATCTAGTGATGAATGGATTCTGGTGCAGGATGTCAAGGCTGCCTTACAACCCTACCATGTCTGTGAGGTTCTGGGCTGCTGCCTGGATGCGGCTCGCCTGCCAGCTGATCATTTCTTTTATTACAGGTCAGAAGACAAGTTGTCTTTTACGGTCCCCTCTCTGTGAGGGTGAACAGCTTTTCAGATCTGGCATTCATTTATGGAGGAAAAGCTCTTGTGCAGGCTCGACTCCACAGAGGCAAGATGTGGGGCGTTTGGAGGCTGTGCAATAGTTCCACTAACATAATAAGTGCTCGTTTGGCTATATGGAACGCTGCATAGGTGGGCCCCCTCCCCGCGGTCCCCATGGTTAAATTAAGGAGCCACTAGAGTGCGCCAAAGTACACAGTTATGGTTGTCACAGTTTGAAAATCTCAAGGATCAAGCAGTGGGTGGGTGTCGGCGGAGAGGTGTCAGTTACCATCACACCGAATTACTGACAGTTTTTATATATTTTATGGTGGGAGTGGGCTGAAGTCGGAGAAGATGGGCATCCTCTGAGACGTGAAGGTGGTCGCTGCAAAACACTGAAGCCCAGATGACATCAGATAACAGCGGTTCAGGGAGGTCAAAGGCTTCATGCTGGTTCTACAGCCCACACCGGAGAGCCCGTCAGCCTCAGTTTATCTTGGGACTAAATGAGAAATCAAGATGCACGCACACACACACGCGCACACACACACAAACACACTCAACCCACAGCTCTGTTAGTGGAGACGGAAACATAGGAAGATATATACAGCTCTGTGAGTGGTATGAGGCCCTTGAGGATCACTTCCCGCCTGAGCTGCTCCTCTGAAACGTTTGTAGAGGTCACGTAAACAGTTTGTATTGGGCTGTCAGTTGTGTGTGTGTGTGTGTATCCGTGTGTGCACAGTCCTTTGAGTGGAGTGGTTTTGTCTCCTCATAAACTCTTGTTTGTATTCCTGTCAGTTGATTGCATAATATAAGGAAGAAAATACAGTCTGAGCCGTGCTGCTGCAAAACTACTTACAACCTGGTATAAAAATCAAGCGCACATCATCGCTGGCATCATGTTCAACCACCAAAATTTAACAGGGACAAAAAGCTCTATTCCAACCCCTCTTTAAACGAGTCTGCCTCGGCGCTGCTGTCTCTCCCGTGCATGGAGGACATTATGCTAATTTCCCTGGGTGTCTGGGTCCCGCTGCTCCTCCAGAGTTCATTATGATAATTGCTAGACATGGCTGAGAACGCTGAGAATGTGAACCTGAAACCAGCAGGAGCTTTTTCCACGCAATCTATATTCAGGGAAATCCCGAGAATGTTCCCCAATCTGGACCATAAAAAAAACACATGGGGATGCTGTAGATCTCCCTCTCCGTCTCTGTTTCTTGTGTACGTGCACGCTTGGATTGGCTCTATTATGTCTTGGAATAATATAAAACAGCTTCCCCTGGTTCTCTCTGTCTCCATCTCTCGGGGTTTTCGCTTCACCTTTGAAATGCAGCCATGTCAGTTGCAGTAGCGCGCCGGCTGAGCGTGCAGTTAGGGACGGAGGTTCGACACCGCCTCAGTCCCGCGTCCAAAGACAATGTTGGTGCAGACGGAGCGGCAGACAAGAGATGACACGACCAACACGCTGCAGAGATCGGCGTGTTTCAGGGAGAGATCGAACCAGCAACGACTGCTAAGTGTTCACAGGCGATTAAGAGTAGACCGAGTGATGGCTTTTATTTTGAAATAGGTAGAGGAAACTGGATCCAATACCCAGAAAGTTAAGGCTCTTAAATTAAAGATCCTGTATAAGGAAATGCAATTACCTGGCTAGGTTTTCCCACTCCAAGTTTCCTCATCACACGGCTGTAATTTTGTAACAGCAGTGGTTTCTAAAGTAAATGTGTGTATCTCAGAGTCAGGTAAGCACAGGGAAGTCTTCTAGGGTCCCCATTGCACATAAACTGCATTATTATTATTACTATTAAGGTGAAAGAAAAACTGATTTTGGTGGAGAAACAAGATTCTGATGGGTGGGGGGGGGAGTAAGTTACAAAATTCCTATTTTATTCTTAAAATAAACAAAAATGTACAATCACAATGCCAATTTCACTCACTGTTGTCAGGTCTGTGTTTCCCTTAAAAAACAAAACAAAACAAACAATCGAAAAACAAATTATGATCTTTATGAAACGTACCAGCAAAGTCTAACAGTCTCCATTAGATTGAGTTTCCTGACAAGTGTTCATGAGAAGGAGCATAACAATAGAAATAACGAGTAAACTTTACATAAGAGCAGGTACAATTCCTGGATATCATACATGTTGATCAATGAATAATACAAGATTTTTTTTAATGACAGTTTGTACGCAACACTAAAAAAAAATAATAAAAAAAATGAACCTTTGTATTTTGAGGAACAAGAAAAAAAAAAAAACCCCAAACAGAAGCAGATGAGGACAGGTTAGGGTGTCAGTGCTGCGTTTAGGTGTAAACAGTTTTTAAAAGATTTGTGAAGCAGATTAAATAAATTCCAACAGATGTGCATAGTATTTGGGAAAATGCTGTAAAATCACAGCAATCTAAAAGGTTTTTGAATTTGTTTATTTATGTTACGCTCTAACAGCAAAAGTACTTTTCGTGCTGGGCTGAAGCTGCAGGAGAAATGCGTGCGTGTGTGTGAGTTGAGAAGATCCTCTGCAGAGTGTGCGTGCAAATCTTAAATGAAAAGCTTGAAGTCTGATCCTTGGACAGGGCCATGTTTTTCTCAGCTTTTAAAAATTGGGTTATTATATTACCTTCATGCACTCAGTATCATACTGTATGAAAGCAAGAAAAAAAATGCTTTTTTTTTTTTAAACAAATGCCAACTGCCTTGTGAAATCAGATTAAACTCCAATATAAATGGCTTGTTTGGCCAAGTGTTATCCATTCTGTGTGTGTGTGTGAGACTCCAGTGGCGTTACATCTCCACTGAGGACCAAAACCACGAGCCCTGCTGGCAGCCCGCCGCAAGTGCTGCTAGAAATAAAACAAGAAATAAGTGCTTTATGAAACAAACATACACAAGTCTCCCATATTTTTCGGTTACCAGTTTGCTGCCAGCAGCTGAATCCAATCACCACTCTGTTGTTTTGTGTTTTTTGGTTGTTGTTTTGCACTTTTTCCCCTTAAACTTAAACACATTTTTAAATCTCGCACGGTAATTTTTAAACCCAGACCTCCCCTCATATCGAGCCCACAGAAAGATTTTAGATTTAGACCCTTATTGTTGACATTAGCCAATAAAAAGGGTAAAAATCAATTCGATAAACTCAGAGTAAAAATTTGAAAATAAATAAAAGCTGAAAGGATCATCAGAGTCTCTTTTGTTTCTCTGCGATTTCCTTTTTAACCCAAAAGACAGAAAGCAAGAAAAACTACAAACCTGTGTGTGTGTGTGTGTGTGTGTCACACTAAGACAGACTTTTTCAAAGCTATCTTTTACATAGGATATGAAAGCTATAATAGACTTGGCATGTCAGAGCTATAATCTTGACCGTGCTTTCAGCCAGGCTGGGTATGAAAAAAAAGAAATGCAGATATAGCAAATCTGTGGGATCAACCAAGGATTCTTCCAGTCCTGAGGAGTTCATGTATCACAAAATAAGTGATCCTTAAAGTCTGACCTGCCTCTTTTAAAGTGGGCCATTAGGCACAGTACCCACTGCAATCATCTTTGGGCTGGACGTCAATTCGTGTCTAAATGCACCATTTCTTATTTGGAAGAGAAAATGCATAAGTATCTGTGTGCATGTCAGACTAGACAGAGCAAAGAAATCAAGCAGAATTTCCCCAAACGGATAATTATTTTCCCCCATTGAAACTCTCTTTAATGGTATGTTGCCAAGAGGCACAATACGAGTTATTGCTCAATAAATACCAAAGGTTTAATTCCGAGCCAAATGTGTGTCAACGCCTCGCGAGGATGTGGGGCTCTGGATGTGTAGAGCAGTTAAACTGAAAGTTACACCAGGAAAAAAAAAAAAAAATGTTGCAATACTCTTTGGAAATTACATTTCATATTCAACACGATTTTAAATCTTTGGCTGCTACCAGAAAAACAAAAACAAAACTTACTTTCTTAAATTACCTATCAAAAAAAAAAAAATCATTTTAACTTAGTCATATAGATGCATCAAAAATATTCAGATTACCTTTCTTTGACTCAAGTTTCAAATACAATACATAATTTATGGCTTTATAAGTTAAAACGAAGAAAACGCCTCAATCTACATCGTTTCACCCACAATATACAAGTTAAATTAATCGGTTTAAAGCAAAATTTACTGTCCACACCACTTAAAGTAACATATGCGTTACTCTTATTACTTGCTACTCAGTGCTTAACTTGCATCTTGATATTGTCGTAGTACAAAAAAAAACAAAAAAAACATGCTCTGCAAAAAAAGCCTTAAAGAAATACAAACACTGTACAAAAGAGGCAGTCTTTAACAAATATCGTCGAAGCATCCCTTTAGCTTTGTGGAATAGAATAAAACTGAAATAACGTCTCATCCACTTGGGCCTAGTAAACCAAAACTGTCTTTTTCATTATTGCTTTGAAACCGACTCCCTTTGTAGCGCCACGGTCTAAACACATTCCAGGAGGACGAGTCCACACACGTTTGGTCTCTCTTGCTCTCTCCCTCTTTTTTTTAATCTCAACCTTAATTTCCAAAGGTAGAGACAGCTGATGTAAGCTCAAAAATCCCCTTTTTTATTTAAAAAAGAAAGAAAGAAAAGGTTTTGTGCTTTCAAACCATGACATCAGTTGACTTCTTATCTCTCTGCCTTCTTCAATATGGCCTCCAGACTGCTTCATCCATGCGGCCTCCGGGGTTGAGTACAGTTGGGGAGTTACTGTGGCTTCCGTCGCCGTCCACCCCTCCCTCTGTCTGGCTGGGCAGGTTAGGGTTCACCAGGGATGTGCCCGTGGAGGCGCTAGTGCAAGGCGGGATCATCCGGGACGGCGAGCGGTCCCCGCCGGGAACCATGGAGAACTGGTACGTGTTGGAGGACGTCCCGTAGTAGAGATAGGGCGTGCTGCTGGTCTGGAAGGGTCCGCTCTGACTCTGGGTGGAGCCCGGGTACGGAGGGGGAAGGTAGGTGTGGTAGTGGGCGCTGCCCAGCGACATGGCTGAGGTGACGGGCGGGGTGTAGGTGAAGGTTGCCGGGTAGTGCATCCGAGGGCTGGAGAAACGGCTCTCTGTGAGGGAGGAGAGGCTCGGGAACTGGCGCTCGAACTGACCGGGGAATGGGCTCAGGTCAGAGGAACCTGAGAGGAGAAAACACAAAACGCACAAACACGTGAATTTCGTCGGCGTTTTATGACATCGACAGGAAGGATTTATTACAGAACCTAAATAATCACACATCAGCTTGTCAGTTGTGATTGCGCTGAATGTGGTTTGGACTATTAAACCATTTAGCACTTTGTCTTGTAGAGTAATTCAATTTAACGAATACGTCTCTTGAGAAATTAAACAGCAGTAAACTGAATTGTCTATGAACCAATCTGAAGAAGCTAATAGATTTTGCATCTATCAATATTAATAATAATATATTGATGAACTTCAGTCGGCTTTTTTTCCAGCTGCTGCGATTCGGTTTCCATGAAGTTCCCAAACGCACATCAGCAAAGTCGCGTGCAAGCATGTTTACACCTTTGCATATTTATGTTCCTGTGAGTGTGTTGGTGCATGTTTATGTGCATCTGTGCAACTGTTTATGCATGCAAATATATCTGTGCGTGCGTGTGGGGGCGGTGGGGGGGAGCTGTATGTGTGTGAATACTGTATGCACGTAAAAAAAAGAAGCAGTTGGGATGAATCAGGAGCTGCACATGTGGAAACACTTTGAGCAGAAACAGTTTCCATGAGATCCATAATGAGGCAGGGCTGAGCTCTGATGTGGCTCCTCTCCTCGCCTCCCATCGGCTCCAGCGTGTGTGTGTATGTATCCGTGTGAGTGTGCGTCCGTGCAAGCGCGCGCGGGAGGAGTGTGTGTGTGTGGGGAGGGGGGGGGATGAGAAGGAGCTGCTCCATCTCACCCTTCGTTCCTCTTTTCGCTTCATCCCTTTAAAAAATACCCAAAAAACCACTAACTGGCTGCGGCGAGCTTCGCGCTGGGCGAAGAGTTTAAGGAGAATAGGAGGTCCTCCCCTCCCCTCTCTCCCCGTCTCCCTCTCAGCGGTTTAGTCCAGCCATGGCGCTCTTATCATAAATCACCAGGCGTCTTCTGTGTCACCATGTCTGCTGCGAGAGGACAGGGGGTGGTGGGGAAGAGGAGGGGAGGTAGGCGCAGTGTTTATGTGCAGGGAGGGATTGCGAAGCCGGGTTTGTCGCTGCAGCGTCAGATAGCATATGCTGCTAATTAAGGCCTTTAAACTTCCTCTTTCCCCCCCGAGATCCGTTTGATTCTAATAGAAATAGTAGGCGATTGTCTCTCTGTTGCAGAGGGGCAGTGTGATCTCAGACGTGACCGGCGCTGTTCAATAAACCCCCTGCTTTTAACTTCAGGACCTATTTTTGTGCTCAAAGAGGCCCTGTGATGATGGGCCAGATCGAACTTTATCAGCCTAAATAAAACCAGAGTGTAAACGTCTGAATGTTTGGAAGGATGTTACAAAACTCGGGGGCGTTGCTTCCGAATGAGGTGTTTGACTTGACTGATGAACTTTTTTTGCAATCGCTTCTGAGCAAATGTAACATTTTGACACACGAGCCGGACCGCTTAATGGGCGGACCCCGATACAGCATCCATATCAGCTTCTGCTCGTGCTCGTCGGTATGTTCTGCGGCTGGATACGGTTACAGAGCCGCCTGGCGAGGTGTCAACATGATCTCTGGAGATCTGAGAGCCTTAGTCACATCGCTTAGGAGGCATTAAGCGCTTGAGGTGTGCGACTGGGTAAAAGTGGGGAGGCGAGCTTTTGCCCCCGTGTTGGTGCACGCGCTTTGAGAACAAAGACCAACGCTCGCTAGATGAAAGCTGAAGTGAGCAACCAAACTAATCAAAGTTGACAAGGCAGCTGGCTGGATTTTAAACCCTTTCTAATGCAGAGTCACACGGCTGCATCGCTTAATCACTCACCCTCGCTCGGGGCACACACGCACACACATGCACACGGAGGAGGGTGTAGTATGTTAGCACAAGGAAACAGAAAGAAAAAGCAGTGCAGAAAAAAAACTGGTGGCAGTGAGTCAAACAGGTGTACGGGGCAGAAACTCGTCTGGCGGCGTGCAGGGATTTTAAAGGAGCTCTTACATTGGGGGAAAAACAGGGACAAATTGGAACACAGATGCTGCCGTTACTGCAAACAGACTGGCTAATGCAATTACCCAGAATGCCTTGAGAGAGTGGCACATCGCTGTAAAGACACTTTATTTGTCAGTCACGAGCCTGTTATTATCCCTGGGCCTGTTATTACCCATGCTCCTCTGGGATCAAAGGCTCTGAGCTTGGAAAAAAAAGAAAAAAAAAAGAAAAAGGAAACAATAGTTGTTTTTTTTCCCTCGACTGTTTGAAAAACATCAAGCAAAGCGTTCTCTGGAGAGATGGTCGGACAATATGGCCTCGTTCCTCACGTTCGCCTAAGAATGAGCTCGCTCTGCTGAATTATTCTCTCTTAAATCGTAGCTCATAGTTCTTTCTCCTCTTTGTATACGTTTCTGCTTTTGACAGTGTGAAAGTGCGTGTGTGCCTGTCTCTCCACCCCTACCCCCCCCCTTTCTCGCTGTAAGAAAAATGCTGCAAACTTGTTGTAAAATGTTGTAAACTAAATTACTTGTAGCAGATTAAATGACCCTGACAGTACCTGGCAATCGTCTAGGCACGTCACTGATGGCAGGCAGACCTGTGGCTCGGCTGGAGGAGAGGGGGGTGGTGGAGTGGACCGAGGGGGACGCCATGGGACTCAGGTAGGACGGATACGTCTGTTCGTACGACCAGGGAGGAGAGGACTGGGACTGACGAGGGTCTGAAGGGGAGAAACGGAGGGAGAGAGGACAGAAATGGAAGTGGGAAAGAGGGGGGGACGATTACAGAAAGACGTATAAAGAAAACAAGACAGGAAAAGAAAGGAAGAAAGAAAGAATTACCA